TTCCTGAGGCATAAAATGCACATCTCAGGAAGTGGGTACCACATAGCTTAATGTGGGTACAGAAAGTGCCCACGTAACTCTTCAACCTGCCAATATATGAACCTGCAACACCAAGAAATACCTGTAAGATGGGAATATTAGACAGAAAAGCAGGAATCACTATTACATTGTAATTCACTAGTTTAGTTCACTCAGTCTCTTCAAATTATAAAGCAGCATCTGAAACACTTGATTGCAGCACTTAAGCATCTTCACGGGAGGGAAACAGAAGTATCGCAAGGTATTTTAATGTATTAGGGAAAGCAATGCCGCAATCAAATGTCAGATGTACTCAAATTAGAAATAATGATTTGTTTAAAAATTATTTTTTATAACATAAAAATTACTAACCTATGAAATAAACTGCCAAAAAAAAACCGCAAAGGATCTACCCGGTATCTTTAAAACAGGATTGTATATTTTTCTGTCTGAAACTCTGGTTTATGTTAGACAGGAAATTAGATCAAAGTATCTAACAATCCCTTCTGGCATCAAAATCAAATGGATCCATGAATTTTGAAAACATTCCTTTTCATTTACAGCTGACTAAGACAAAACAAACATAAGTGAACATACAAGTTGTCTGAGAAGGGAGACAAAACTGTGACTGACAGCCTGTATCCGAACCGAAGTAAAAATGTAGTTGCCAAAATCTCCCTGGCACCAAGCAAGGACTTCCCTACATTTAAGAGACAGCTAAAGCTGATGAAGTACTATTTTCTTTCATGTACATGACTATATTCTGTATATCACAAAAAATAATTTTTCAGTACACACATTTCAAGGAAAACTTATCACTTGAGGTTCTGTTATGGATTTTTCTAGTGCTGGAATCCAGCAAAACTGCTTATCTTGATCCACAAGCTCACAGCAAATAGCTTCTGATGTCTTCATTCAAAAATAATTTTAGCTGTGGATGTTCTGCCACCAATAAATCAGGGTACATTTTGACAGACACTTGATTTTGTACATCTCAAGTACAGCCTGTACCTTACTTGGGTGGTTTTGTTGATATTCAGTTGCAGGTGAATAATAATTGCAAGGTTGGGGAAAAACAGCAATAGAACCCTTCTCTTAATAAAAATGATAGAATGGTATTTTTTACTCTTAATTTAACATCTCTTAAGCTCCCAGTCATGCCTGTTATGAAGCAGCAACAGTCTCCAGCTGCATACTGACCCAGCAGTGCTGTACTAGCTGTACTACGCAGTTCCCTGACTAGCACCTCCTGAAGAGCTTCTGAACTAGAAAGTTTGCTGTTTTGTTCCCAACCGTGTCAGCTGTTCCAGGAAAGGATACAACCACTCCTACAAACCCTGTCCTACTGAACACTAGTAAAAGGGATTTCATAAATCACGTAATAGATCGGTCTACAAGCTGGCTCCACATCCCCGCTCACTTTCTCACATTTCTTGTTTAAACCAGGCAAGTAGTTAAAAAAGAAAAAGGCACAAAATCAACAAGATGGATTTGGGCAGGAGCGTTAGCAGCTAGACCTTCACATTTTTACAAACTCCAGGTTAAACTACTGTCAAAATTCACCTTGATGCCAGTTCATTTATTTAAAAACAAAGGGGCTGGCTCCAGTAGTAGCTCTGCTATAAGGAGACACAATATAAAGACACAAGCTATCACTGCAACCTCATAAAGCAGATGCACTTTCTACAGTCACACTCATGGGAGAAGATGGGAATGGCTTCATTTCCTAAACTGGCTGCAGTGAGAGTGTTCTGAACGTCAGCAGCAGGAACCCTCCCGCAAAGCTCCGGAGCTCCCACTGCCACCCTGGCCATCTTGGACCAATTTGATTTATATTCTCTCAAACCCACCATGTCTCTCTATTTTTTCTTTAATATCCTATCAAACAACATAGGCCAGGGTTGTTCTTGTACATTCTTGCGATACACTTTAAAGTACACACTGCTGTAAAAGTGATCATTTCATTATTTTATATAATTAGGACTTTAGCCAATGACTTGGGTGTTATTTATGAATGAATCATGCTGCTCTGAGTGGCTGGGTATATTTAACTCTCATTAATTTGTTCAAAATAGCTACTAATGGGTTTCTTTAGCTCATTATTCTTGTAACAAAAAGCCAAAAGAGATGACTGGGTTTGCATGGAAGGGCTTGGGTAACCCTTTCTGTTACAACCCAGTGACCAGCTTATAAATACACTGCACTTCAAATTATTTCAAGGCAGGAGCAAGTTAACAGCTCAAGACAAAAAATGCAGGCTTCAGCTGGCATCAGCCCACGAACAGCCCTGAACCATTTCTGGAAACTATTTGTTTTCACTTTCTCTTGAGTGAAACAACACTATTAAAATTGGAATTCTGGAAAAACTGAAGGTTCTGAACCCAAATCAAGAGGAGAAATATAAATATGCTGAAATCTAGCAACAGTTTATTAGAGGGAGTAGTTAAATAAGGGCTTCAAAAGAAACATGTCACTCACAATGATACAGCTCCACTGTTTGTATGATTCAGAAATACTTTCCATAAAAAAGGTTGCATATTTGGAAGATTTTATTGAGTACTTGGAGGATTTTGTATGTGCAAAGCGCTGATAAAGTTTTTATACTATGTCATGAGATCTATTTGCAGAAAAATGTTATTTTTTTATAATATAGTCTATTGCTGGCTGGGCTCAACATCATCATACAGCTGCTGTTAAAAACATCATCTTGCCTTGACACTGAGGTTACATCATGCTCCTTTACATCTCTGACTTCTCTTTGCTGTACCACTTATTGCTTTTAATCTCTGGTCAGTAAAGACTTAGCTCTACCTTTCCACCCCTTCTTGCCAGGAGTCAGCATCAGCCTCGAGGTCACCTCCTCCAGAGGTACTCTCAGTACTCTGGCTGTGCGAGCCAGCTGGTAGCTAGGCTGATGAAGGGCCAGAACTAACAGTCATGCACTAAGAAATGCCTGCCTTTCCGATTCCCTAGTTTTTCTGCCTATGGTGATCTTGTACAATCTAGATTTAAAGATTTCTGCATCAGGAACTTCCTTTTTTTTATTCACGAGACTGTACAGATTAGAGTTTCCACCCATTTTCCTTATTGTCCGAGCAAATATACTACATTCTATCAACAGTTTGCTGAAGCTGTTTGAAGTACTATTTATTCTGTCTGAAAAAAACAAGCAGTGCTGATCAGATACAGAGATTAGCTTGTATTTCAGTTCACCAGTTGGGAGATCTTTGTTTTTAGACTCTTTTCCTGCACAAATACTGGCCACACTCCTATCTGAAAATAGGAGCAATAGTTGCTCAAAGTTTGTTGTTTCAGCAGACATCCCTGCCAGTTAACATTTTGACTAGAATAACCATGGTAACAAATGCAGAAGCTAACCAGCACAAATAGTTCAAAGTTGTTTCAGCTATCCCTGCCCTGGCCTGCTTCTCATATGTGCACCAACAAATCCTTTTAAGATGATAACCAGCACAAATAGTTCAAAGTTGTTTCAACTATCCCTGCCCTGGCCTGCTTCTCAAATGTGCACCAACAAATCCTTTTAAGATGACAGCAGACATTTAAATGACCTTTTTGCAGTCATTAGTAAATCAGTGCTTCTTTCTTTCTGGTATTTAACAGTGACATGAGACATTCTTGTAGGGCTGGGAGGAGCCATTTTCCTCTTTGCTTCCCACCTCCAAGGATGCTGTGAATGCTGAAGAAGAGAAGGAGGAGAGTCCTTTTGTATGGATGCTGTTATACCAAAGTTAAAAAGTTGTTTTGGCACTGAACACAGCAATGCAAAGCCTGTCTTGTATTTTGTCCTGCATTAATTAAATGTAATAGTTTAAAAAAAAAAAAAAAACTTTTGTGCAAGTTTCCACTTGAACTTCACACAGATGGTTCTTGTAGAAGCTGAGGGTTTGACCTGATCTAATTTTGCATAAGACACATGGCTATCTTAACTCCTTGTATCCTCCGGTACCTTAAGGGATGTACATGGATCTCAAAATCTGTTAAGAGAGAGATGTAGCAATTTGCAACAGCCCAAGCCCAGCCTGTGGTTTTTGAGCTGCATGTGACTCAGTAGCAAGTCAAGTAAAGCTCTCACGCCAGGGCTGTATTACAGATGTTAATTACTCTCGATTTTTAGCTCTAAAGGGAAATCGGGAACCCTTAGGGACTGCTGGGACCAGTACTGCCTTGCGGGATGCAGCTGTGTGCTCAGCCCCATCCCATCACATGGAGGGGGAGTGGAATCCCCACGAGTGCTATCAGTGTGTTACTGCCAATGAGGCAATCCCACAGATTGAATTCCCTTGTCTCTCCGAGGTAGGTAGGTCTTGGCAGACTCATCTGAAATGTTAGCTAATCTGTGTGCTGCCTAAGAATGCAGCTGTTTGGGCTATACGAATCTGACTGGCCCCTGGGATTCATGCAATTAAAGCACGGCAGTTTCTGTGGCCAGTGGCACAGGCAGGGCTGACACAGCTGGCATCGTGTCACTCATCCTAGCACATTTTGACTTCATAGACCAGGTAGGCGTTAACAGCGAGGCTGCTTCTTCAGAGAAGTCTGGTGTGATGCTCGAATTCACACCAGCAGACGTAAAGCAAGAGACTCACCAGGATGCTCGTTTGCTGCCTCCCTGGAGCACAGCATGTTAGAACCACACACACGCAGGATGGTGTGAAGTATTCTTGCAAACAACACCTTTCGTTAGTAAGAGACTGTGCAGAAGCCAGTCCTGTGATGGAGCCCCTATGCAGTCACAGAGTGAGGCTGATCATATACCCCACAGATGCTGTTTACAAGCTTTTGCACACCATTCCAGCTTGCGGCAATGTGAATGATACTCTGACCATCATTTATTTTCCACTGAAGAGCCCATGATCTCAGAAAGGGTTCAGTGAACATCATGAAGTTTGATTCTGGATATTGGCTAGGAAGAGATCTACAAAATACCTGACTTTTTGGTATTTTCTACCTAATCAGAAGCTGCTAAACAAGAAGGTTCCAGAAGTCTTCAAAACATTAAGTCAACTTAATGTGACTAAGCACCCTTACTTTGATATTTATCTCAATTTGAAAATACTTCAATCATTTAGTTACATGAAAAGTAACCCAGCTATGAAACCCTGACATACTGCGTAACTGCTCTTTGCTGAAAATTACACCACACTGTATTAATCCCCTGCGGGGGCAGGGCGGGGGAAGAAAAAAAAGAAAGAAACCTCCTCTAACTAAAGCCTGGGATGACTCTCAGACAAATAGATGACTCTTAAACAAGTATGCCGAAGTACTGTACACTTCAGAGTTCATCATGGTATTAGTCATAGTTAGAAAACACCTATTTTAAACTAGCATTTAATACGCAAGTCCAATATACATACCCAGGATTCATTTTCTCAAACACAAATTTCCCTATTCAATTTGTGGCATCACGTTTTCCACAGTCTCTTGACATTAAAGCTAGTCAAACAGCACTCTGTGCCAACTCCACACCTCCCAAATATGAACTGGGTTTGTGAGTCAGCTCCACACACTGTAATACTACCAAAGCAAGACAAGTATGGCACTTCAAAGGCTGTCACTTACAAGAAATATGACAGTAAAACCACCTAAAATAATTCTTCTAGATACTAGAAGTAGTGAAAGCAATATGTAGTATCCCAGCCCGATTTAGCTGAGTATGTCTCAACACTCAGAGCGCAGAACTGCAGGGTATCAAGTATTTGTTGAATACAAATATCTTTTTCTCTACAATATTCAAACACAGGACAGTTCAACATGACAATCATAGAAAGCAGCTTATGAATGACACTAAAATATTATTACACCATGTATCACTGGTATTGTAGTGGCTTATGCTCATGCTGGTTGCCCTCACACTACACTCGATATAAACAGCATAAGAAGATTCTTGGCCCCAAAGTGATACAACCAATATATTCCGCTTTTAGGACACATCACAAAGCTTTAAGGTATTCTTTATTTCTGTTGATATACCTTGTCTATTTCATTGCAAGATTTCAACTTTCAAATGCCTAAACTTACGACTCAATGCTCAATACATTGTCCTTACCATTATGTTTCAGCATGTTACTTTTATAAGTAGATTTGGGGTATGACTAAGAGAACAGAGTTTGGTTTTCCATTCTTATTCTCCAGGATATACTCACAATTCCCTCTCTGAACAGTGCTGCTGGGCAGCTCACACTAGTAATATCTGTGGTAAGCCAACATGACAAGTAAAGGAGCAACAACTATTTAGACTTGTAAAAGCACAGCAGTACTTTCAGAAGTACTTTTTAAGCACACAGTTCACTCTGCTTAGTGGCATGTTTTAGATACCTACAGTCATGCTTTTATATTTTTCCAGACTACACATACCTTCTGTAAGTTTATATATTTAGAAGCAGTGCAAACTTACTTCCTTTTGCAAGGGAAGTTTTCAATTACACACCAGGATTTTTCCACAGGTGACAGTTTCTGTGGTATGACCTCACAGGAAAATCCTCAATCAAGTAAAGTTATGTATTCCAGGAAGGTGCAAGCAGTCCCAACACTGTCCTGCTGCAATATAAAGACAGTGTACTTGAGCCCAGCAGTGAAACCAGACCAGTTCTAGTACATACTCCACATCAAAGGCAATGAGTATCACTAGGTTGGAGAAGGGGTGCATTGTCTAACACATTTCATAAGAATAAGGGAATTTTTTCATAGCAAAAACCAAAATATGCCTTGGAAGCCCAAATTCCATATGACTGACCATCAGTGATTCATCTTCAAGCCAGAGGTCCCTGCAGACACCTTACACACTATGATTTAAACTGCACTTACAGGAACTTGCATGACTTCTTTTTCTTCTGTTGTTGGCCTCCGTGCTCCCTTTTGAACATACTGCACTATGAAAACTTAATGAAATTTTTCATAGTCCCTTTACCTTCTATCTCTACAAGTGTGTATGGCATCATTTCTTCTTGAGTTAGGGATTAATTTTCAGGGACAGTTTTTTTTCCCCCTTGAAGTCAAAAAGCAGAGGGGAAACATTAGGGGGTAATAGGAGCCATACTCTACAGCTTTTTTCAGGGGTTCCATCTGTGTGACCTTAAAAAAAATACAGGAAAGGAACAAGAGAATATGGGTTCTTCCTTCCCGATACTTCCTTTCTGCTTCCCAAAGGCAGTGGCTTTGTCTTTAGCCAGTAAAAGTAAGCAATAGAGAAAGCAAAATGTAACCAAAACGTATACTACAATGTCTAATTATTCTCTTTCCAGGAGCTTTTCTTATTCCCTATATTCTCTTCCTAATCATTGCTGGAATGCCCCTGTTCTATATGGAATTAGCACTGGGACAGTATAACCGAGAAGGGGCTGCCACTGTGTGGAAAATCTGTCCAGTTTTCAAAGGTAAGTGTCTCTCTGCTCACTTAAACAGCACCATGAGAGTGCTACATGTTTGTGATCACAAAGTAAAGGTCTCTCATCTTTCCACAGCGAGCATGATATTTGCTGACCCTTCCCCAACCCTTGAAGTCAGAAGCCTGTTTGTTATTCACAGGTGGAGCACAAAATGAGAAAAGCCACAGAAATCATCTTCAGGGTTATTGCTGAGGCGTGCAAGAGAGAGCAATGAGCACGGGCTCTTCAGCCCCGTCCTCCCTGTCCCTGCGTAACAGGGTGTGGGAGGAACTGGGTATCTCTAGGTGGAGGGAGAGGCTGGCAATGCAAACATTTAGAAATACCAAATCCCATCCAGGTCTCCCCCAGTGACTAACATACCCACTGACTCCATTCAGTTAACTCACTGTGTGGAGTTTTCTCTGCAAAAGTCAGCATACCGCAGTGACAAGAACACGAAAATGGAGCTGTGAAAACTGTAGGCCAGTTGGTAGACTGGTAACATCCCGGGAGTTCTCTGTGGCTCTGCACCTCAGTTTTCCTGCCTATGAAATGGGAGTAATGATTACGACAGACTTTGTAAAGTGGTTTTCAAATCTAGCAATGAAAAGCATTTATTAAAACCTGAACATTATTGTTACTATTGAGCGTTTTCCACTGGGGTTAACTCTCCAGATTCACTAAATAAAAGGCTGCAGCGTGTTGCGTTGTGCACTGAGTTGCAACCATTCTGCAAGGAAGAAATAACCAAGGTTAGGTGTTTGGATACTGGTCAGGGCGTTCGGCATTGATCAGAGATAAAGGCATCTCCCTGGGTGAAGGAAGCCATATGCTCTCTCTACATGAAACAAGTATTTCTTAAGGAGCCTCAAGAATTTTCTTAAGCATTGCTTACAACAAAAATTGTAAATTCCCTTATATCTGTACCAGATTATATCTAAAATCTTATGTAGAAACATTTTCAACACAGAGTCACCTGAAATGAAACCGCTCAAGCTCAGCTGATCTTAGAAGATTAAAATTCAGATAGTGTTCATCCTGTGACTGACAAAAGCTGAGGAGCTTAACAGTAGCGATCCAAACTTGGCAGATCTGGTGCGTAGCTATAGGTTACACTGAGTAAATGTTAGCCTTCTTTCCCCTTCAAGGAGGCTAGTGCCACAGAATAGGAAAACTGCAGGTTTTTTTTCTTATCAAACCCAAAACTCCCAGCAAAGTCAGAGATATAATAAAAAATACATAAGCGAGCTAATAAAATATGTCCCAAAATTTTTAAATTCATTCATACAGATTTACCTAGTCCTATAATCCCTTCAAGGGAGACAAAATTCATCCCAGCACCTGGGAATCTGAAGACCCTTGGTTAATCAAAACCCCTGTCGGTTAATACCTTTGGATGGCAATAAGCATTTTGAAAACTTAACTGCAAATTTAGACCTTAAGGACCTCTAAGTGTTCGCGACAAATACTACAGTGCTCAGAGCTACTCTATTAATAGACTTCAGGACTGAAAAGATGATGAGAAAGGAAAACAGAACTTATTTCATGTATAGTCTTCTTGATATTCCAGCTATGTCTTTAAGCTGACATTTGAAAGTGGACTAAACATACATTACTGTTGACTTTTAAGGGTTCTTATTACTAGGATATAGAATAGCGTAAGTTATTTGATTCTCAAAAAGTAGTAAGCATTGAGCTGTGTTTGCACCTCAGCACCAGCATAAACTCGGTACTTTTAAAATTCTGACCAAATCTTCTGATAACATACAAACACATTTTACTGCTAATGCTTTTGAGTTGTTGCTGGGATAACTCAAGTCCTTCACTCAAACAAAAAGTCCATAGCCTACACAAATTTAGAACAACTTCTCTAAATGAACAGCACTACAGTACTAATTTTAGCTATGAACATTATTACTATGAGCTCTAAGGAGTCTACTTCTAACGAGATGCTCTTGTAACGCATGCAATTAAAAATATACCCTGTAACCTTTGCAACACAGTCTGTTTTCATCTCTGCATTTTCCAGGGTCTACTTTAAGGTGTGGGTGGTACAGCATTTTAAGAAAAGCTAGACCTGGAAACAGGAGAGCAAATTCATTCCTGAACATTCTTGTGATTTCAAAGGAGTGACATTTAAGTTACATTTGATCCAGTATTGTTTAATCTTTATATTAAACAGCTATGATTGTCCTCCTGAATTGGAGAAATTTCGGGAACACTTTTTTAAATGAGAAATTGTCCTGTTCCAGTGCAACATATATTACTGGTACTTAGTATTTTAACATTCACATTAATATTTAAAAATTACCCCCTGCTCCATTCTATTGATCATAATGTTTCACTAGAGTTTGAGTGTACTGGATTCATTTAAGCACTAAGGATTTGAAGAGACAGTTTCATCATTACTTTCACAGTCTTTTCCCCCATGTTAGGGATGAGCAAACTGGTCTATGTGTTAAAAGCCTCCTGAAGAGCAAGGAGTAACTTTGGTACATGCAGCAGTCTTTGAACTGCCAACTCCTTCAGGATCAGCAGCTCTCCAAGCATACTTCACAGTAGGCAAAAATACAAAACAAATGCTCAAAGTCAAAAGAGAATGTTTACAGTGGGGATTCTGTAATCCTGGAGAAAAAATGAAACGGTTTGAAGGTCCACACACAGTTTAGCCCCAAGCTTGATATTCACCAAGGTTTACTGGCATGCCCAAGAACCACTTGGAGCCCCCTCAGTGGAACAGTGGAACAGACCGTTTAGACCTAGTTACGAGCTGGTGGAAGCCAATCTGGAGAGTAACAAGGGGAAAGAAACAGATGAGGGATCGGTGTCTGTCCAAAGTAGCTCAGGGTAGGAGCGCAAGGCACAGGCAAACTTCACTTAAGTCTGGAGCTTTAATTTTCCAAGGCAAGTTGCCAAGGATTCTGACATGATGAAGATGAAGTAAGTTTCACTCCTAACATGGGCTTGCAATCTACTGCATTGGAAGCAAATCAGCAACAGAGTCATACAAGAACAGATTTTGACACTGCACTGCACGATTTTTCTGGCTAACAACTGGATTTTCTAAAAGCCAGTCATTTCCCAAGATCATTAATGTAATTTTTGGTTTTAAGGTCAGTGACACTGTGTCCACATGTATGCATGTAAATGTCAAAAATTCCTTTTATTGCTTTGAGGATCTAAAATGAATTTGCAACCATGTATGGCTGAGTTTAACTGCAGTGTTTGCATATACTGTTGCACGTAAAATGCAATGTATAATCTAGTTTTCCTTTGTCTTTAGGTGTAGGCTATGCAGTGATACTCATAGCTCTTTACGTGGGTTTCTACTACAACGTTATCATAGCTTGGTCTCTGTATTATCTGTTTTCATCATTCACATTTGAGCTCCCCTGGACAAACTGCGACAACAGTTGGAACAGCCCAAACTGTACAGATCCCAAACTCTTCAATGCATCAGCGCTTGGCGATGGTACCAAATACTCGAAGTACAAGCTCACTCCTGCAGCTGAATTCTATGAGTAAGTGTTGACTTGACTTTGCTATTTATTCAAAATTCTATGTCCAAGAGTGTTTCCTCCGGAAGGTTAAATAGCTCAGCATCCAGCCTCCAATATAAGCGTAAGACTAAGGATAAAATGCAGTTGCAATGTTGATCTGTATTCCTGTGTGATTAAGACTCTAGCCTCTGCAAGCTTCAGTTTTTCCAGTAGAAATGAAATACTTGCCACTGAGCAGTATGGAATTGGACAAGACAAATGTTCCCTGATGTTCCATTTCTGTTTGCACCAACTTTGACAGGGCAAGGAAGCACAGCAATGTTCTGACAAAGACCACTGCAGGACAAACTGAACTGGCTTTAATACTTTAAAATAATCATTTGTTCAACAAACTTGGCCTGTTTCTCCACTTGCAGAGTATCTCGGAATAGACCTCTGTTTGCTCAGCTGCCTATTGAATAGTTCAATGAAGTGAGATGAAGCATGGAGCAGGGAGGATAGTGCCACAGCTGTAGAAAGACAGGCTTTTTCTGATTCCTAAGCAAAAGAGCATTCTGCAATATGGGTCAAAACAGGCAAAGGTACACTCAAATCAAACACTTGGAATCAAAACAAAAAAAGGTATATAAAGTAACTAAACTATAAAACAAAGCTATCGATGTGTGTATAAATAATTGCATTATGGACCTCCAGGGGAAAATGGGATTTGATTAGGAAAAAGAAAGGAGGGGAGGTATCAGGCTAATTGAACCAGCTGTTGAATTAATCTGAATAATCAATTAATATTTCTGTGTTGAGACTGGAAGGATATCAGGACACAGACCTGCTGAGCAGCAAGTCCTACCCCACAGAAGCAAAGGGACACCACAGTTACCACAGATAACCTCCTGTGTGTCACACCATGCCTGGCTACCGTAGGGATCATGAGGTCTGTGTTTATAGCTCTGAAACCTTTGTGACTGCTATTTTTCCTCTGCAGACAGCACAGCGAAAGATCAGTAGTGATACACAAACTGTTGGCAGGGGTTTGGGTAAACTAAACTCAGTGCTTTGAAAACAATAAGGGGGGGTGAGTTCAAAGGAACTCACTACAACAGCAAATAATGACAGCTCAGAAATCTACTGCCCTTGCAAAGACAATATATGATGTGTTCATAACTCAAATGTAAAGAGAGGTCATTTATAGCAAAAGGCTGTATGTCCTCGTAGTCAAGGAACCTGACTTTGAAGTGAACATTATACATTCAGCATCTTCAAACGAACAAGTGCGTTATTACAGAATTTTCACGTGAAGAGCATTTATGAAGGTTTTCTTTATAATTTTCTTGTGATTAAGCCTTTGCAAAGCAAAATACAATGCCTATATTCATGCTTTGCTTTGTTATAATTTAAAGTGCATTTTCTGTTATCACATCATGCTTGGGGTATGATTTTGAATTTGCAGTGGGTGAGGTAGTGGTAGAATCTATTCACAATGTTTTGATTTAGTTCCACTGACCTGGGGAACAGCTCAAGTTGTGATGCTGTCTGTACGCTGAAGCTTGAAATATTAGGGTTCTTTCCTTACAGATTCAAGGTGCAGTTTTCAGAAGGTAAGAATAAAAAAGAGAATTTAACATTTCATTGTGCTTTGATCCCTGAATTTTGCAGCAGTAATTAAGTCCCTAGGCCCTGTACCTATTAGCAACTAGATTATGTTGCAAAAATTAGAAGAATAACCACTCCAGTAACACAATCTGTAACATTTGCTTCCCCAGCTGTAAAAACAGTGAATCACAAGGGGCATTACGTTCACTTAGCCAGTACTTGGATTAGCTCATCAAGTCCAGCTGTAAAGCTCAGGTGTGGACCCAAGCTTGTGCAAAGTTTTAGTGTATTCAGATCCAACCTAATAAAGACAGTTCAATTCAGAAAACAGTGTTTCTTCTCCTGTATCAAATACACTAACTCATTCCCACGGTCTTTTTACAACAGGGAGAGCTGAATCTTCTGATTGTAAAGTTTCATATTATGTGCAATAGAGTCAGGAAACAGAAGTGATGATGTAATGTTAAATCTGCGTCAATATAGTGAGTTTACAAAATGACACCATTTTTGGATGCAGTTTATTGTTAAGTAATAGTTCAAATAAGGGTCTTGACTGGCTACATTCCCTCTGAAAACCCCTTGAAGCACAGGCTGATAACTCCTTTAAGAATATTGGGTGTCCTTATACCGTATTACACTACTGCTTGAATGACTGCTGAACTTGACCCAAGTGTCTGGGTAGGAATCACACCTGATTCTTCCTGGTAGATAGCCATTAGTCACTTTTAATCAACAAATCTTTGCCAGATGAGAACTCCAGTTCCTGACAGAATAGTTTGTGTCAGGTCAGTCTATTACTTCCAGCCAGAAATCCTAAATTATCGACTGCATAGTGAATGGATCCTTCCTCAACAAGAGTTGTTGTGGACGAGCAAGAGTTTTTAAGTAACAGCATCATGGAGACACTGGTTGCCAAATTCTATGATCCTGTTTATTTTCTTAAGGTTTGTACTGCTATCCAATGTTACAAGGTGTTAGTAATAACAGAAACAATTACTTTTTGGGCAACAGATATAATATGGCAAATTTCAGATTTTGAGTTTTGACCAGTTATATAGAGAAAGAAGGAAACAGAGCAGCTAATTTTATACCAGAGGGAAATAAAGCTATGCCACGCAAACTTCAGTGGGACACCTATGGAAGCCCGGCCTCTGCACTAACACAAGGCATGCTGATTAAAACAGGGATTAAAAACAGCAACAGCACTGGTGCTTACTGACAAAATATCATAGAAAGGGAGGGATTTTGTCAGTGGAGATGAAAATAAGTTCTATTACTCTCCTCAGTACTACCAAGGCATACAGGAGACCATCCAGCTTGGAGTATTTGGGGCCAAGTTTTCAACCACAGTAACCAGCGTAACAAGAACTTGCTGCTCTGTGTTACTGGGATGCACTGCAGCTTATGGAAAACTTGCTAAGGATCCTAAATGTCCAAACACTTAAGTCTTCAGCCTCAAGACTGCATGGCAAGTAATATAGCTTGAACTTGGTTCTCTACGTTGTGTATTTAAATTAAGACTGTACGCAAACTTTTGCCTTCTGGTGGGCAAGCTGAACTGGAAGCAGGGAGACCAGAAACACCAAACTTCTATTTTTGCCATTGGAGAATGACTGAAAAGAGGTACTGCTAAAGCAGGCCACAAGCAGAAAGCTGATGTGGCTACCCATAAGAGAAATAGACACTTCTCTCTGGGACATCATTCCTTCACACAAAGCTTGTCTGACCATGAATTTAGAGGAGATTATTTCCTAAAACCATGCAGCTGCCAGAGCTGACTCTCTCAATCTCTGCCAGCATAGGAACAAACTGTAGGAAGAGGTGGGAGTACTGTGATGAGACATTTCATCTAATAGTTCAAGAAGGGCACCTCTAAGTTCAATCAGATTATGCTGATTTTCACCACTTATTTCAGGTGAGAGGAGGGAAAACTTGCTAAGAATGTAGGCCAAATCTTTCAGCTGTCCAGCGTTTGGCAGGGAGGGAAAGCAAGGAAAAACCTGTAAGTCTCAGACTTGAAAGAAATCACTTCAAATTGCAATTTCCATGCCAAGGCAGTGACAGGCAGATTTGACAAACATATCTGGCTTTTGTTTTCAAGCCTTAAGAGTTGGGCAATAGCTCAGGTTGAAGTGGTTCTACACTGAAGCTTTCTGGAGTGTTTCATTTTACTACGTCTGGTTTCAGTCATTCAGGCTTAATTCAGACCAAGATGCCACTGACGTAAATGGGACAGTTGCTTACAACAAGAATACAGGATGGAATGAGACCTCTCCAGTACCTCATTAGAGATGGTCAAATCAATTATAAAGTACTTGTACACTGCAAACTTAGCAAAGCAAGCACTCCAAAATCTGAGAGCAACTGGTGCCCTTCTGCTAGTAATGGTCAGTCATAAGAGAAATCCAGTTAGGAATAAAATATAAATTCCACATTTCTTTGGAGACACACATTACTTAATTACTTCCCTCTTCAGTGGTTTGGAATTACAACACACAAAATGCAAAGGACCTTCTATCCTTTCAGCATATGTTAAAATAATTCGTTAGAAACCCTTTTTTTGGAAGAACACAAGTGCATCACTGCAAAAAAAGTTCCCCTATCTACTCCATATCGCTTCTATTCAGATAATTTATCTGAATACAGGCATACTTTATATTTGTGCTCCCCATTCTTGTGTCTGTGAAAGGTTTATTACCATCTTGCTTTCATTTACACTGACAATTAAAAAATACCAGTGTGGTGGAACAAAAGCACTATTCTCATGAGGTACTGTGCCTGTAAAAAATAACGACTTGTAGGAACAAATCCTGGCAATTTTTTAAACAAAATATTGGAAATTGTCAACAAATGTATTGAGCTATGGCTATTTTCCTCTGATGGCACTTTTTCTCAGGGCTGTAATCCATTCTTTCTGTGTAAGAAATAAAACACATTTTTACATGGAAATTTTCATGCCAGATTCAGTAAAGGAAATACACAGAATTCACAAGTTTGCCCAGATGTAAGTAATTACAAAAAGCCACCTAAGAACAAGGAGTAAAGACTATGTTCAGTCACAGCAGTCTACATCTTTCATATTTATGAACACAAATTTATTAGGAGTGTAAGACCAAGAATATCCTGAAAAAAACCCCTCACCCTACACAGAAAAGGTTACTTTTATAGACCAAGAGGTTTGTGCTCTTGGGTACAAGTTTCACAGGAAAGACCACCACAGACCAAAGGGGCCCCATAGTTCAGCAGCACGTCAAATGGAGTGATCAACACCATGTGCTCCAAACAAAGATGTAGGAACCTATCCCCATAAAACAATCACAAAGCAACCTCTCCCAAAAGAGAGAGAACACCATTTCAAAAGCAAGCATAAGTGATTCTGCTTATAAATGCTCATAAAAACTGAATCAGAAAAACAAGAAATAATGAGAGTGGAT